TCCTAGCACGGAAAAGCACTTATGTCCCCAGCATACATTTTTTCCTGGAATGCACGTACACACATCAGTGGTTTCTGTCTTTCTGAATCTGCAGATCCTTGACAAATTTTCAGGGAAGACATGGAGGGAGCTCTACATAGCAGCTTTCGACCTGCCGATGACAGGCTTGCTTCTTTTCGGTACCTTTTGCAGATTTCAGAGAGCACAAAAAACCCACTACGAGAGAGGCACAGCTATCTGTATGTGAAGAGGCCCTAGTATCACAGCTGAAGAGCAGGGAAAGCTGTTTTCTCACATCCAGCTGAACTCTAGTTCCACTGAAACTAATGCCTGCTTTATCACTGATGCCAGTATGACAGCTGAATAGAGGCAAAAGGGCTTTTGAAAGCCCCACCCGTAAGGTAAAGCCAGAATACTTCAACTAAAAAAAAAATCTGAAAAGGTGAATATAGAAAGACTGAGACTACAGAGATGAAATCTCCTTAAAATTAACTAAGGGGCCTACAAGAAAGCTGGGGAGGGACTTTTTCCTGGTCTGGTGGAAGGTGTCCCTGCCCATGGCAGGGGGGCTGGAACTGGATGGGCTTTAAGGTCCCTTCCAACCCAAACCATTCTATGATTCCATGAATATAAAGTGATTGGAACTTGTACAAAGAAGCCACTACAGACAACGCATTTTGTGGTGTATCTGGGCAAGTAGTCAGGGAACATTGTAAGTGCTGAAAGTACTGTATTAGTGAAAACCTTATCTTAATAAAAGTTTAATAAAACTCAACATCTTCATGATGAGCCCATGTACCAATGTATTTCTAATCTGCTGCAGAACTGGCTTTCTTGAAAGAGATACAGCCCACTAACTGCTTTACTGCTAATCTAACTTTGCTACCCCTGGCAGTAAAATAACAGCATCAGTAACAACTGAAAGTCAGGTAAACTAGCGTGCTTTCAGTGCAGTCAGTTATTAGGGGCTACAACAAATAAACGTGGTTGTGGGCCTGGCCTTACACACGCAGACGACATTCAGCTGTGCCATCACTCAGTGTGAGGTTGCAAGTGAGCATCACCCTGGCTCATTCCAGCACTATCCAGGATGACTGAACTGTGGGTCAGTCCTGAGGGAAATCCTGGCCTCAGAAAAGTCAAAGGGAGTTTCACTACTGACTTTAATGGGATCAAGATTTCACCTAACAGGATTATAAAGGCTACAGCTTCTCTGATGGAGATACAAAATTAGTGAACACAGTAGGGCAGTGCCTTTGAATTTCAGTCAAGCATTTGATACTGTGCCTCATAAAAGCCTGCTATAAATATCAACTCACACTGACTAAGACAGGAACACTGCTGCACTGATTGAAAGCTGCTGGCAAATGGCAATGGATCAAGCTGGGGAGAAGTGTCTGTGACAACAGTTCCCAAACTTTCTTCTTGTATCCTAGAGGAAAGCACAGTCTGTGCCTCCACACTATCAGGAACACTGCCAAAGGACACTTCCCACCCACCAAAGCAAGGGGTGCTTTACCAGAAGATGGAGAGATGATGCCCTTGGCAAGGCCAAGCCACACCAGGTCGGTGTTTGCCCTCACTATTGTGACTGACCCAAGAAAGCCTCAGCAGCGTCACTGTCTCCTACCCTGGGATCCCAGCTGGCCCCTGCTCTGAGACCCCAGCCCCAGTGGACTTGCCATGACTGGATTGACTCTGCTGCTCGTTCCAGAGGTAAACTGGGAGCAGTGTGCCTGGCTTTCTCTGACTGAATTCTGCCTCCACTAAGACCCTGAGAAATTCTACTACTGACTGCAAGGGGAACAACCATTTCTGGCCCCTGCTGTTTCCCTCTGTGCCTGCTTTGCGATTCTGCTTGCCCCTCTCTCTGGCCCACACCCTGTGGGTGCTACTGCACCTGCAAGTGTGCTCCTGCCCCAGCCTTTTCCTTCCTGCCACACTCCCTGCTCCCTTCCCTAGGGTTTCTTCTGTATAATGAACACAGAACACTACGAAAAGAAAAATTCAGGATAAAAACTTGGCAAAGCTTGCTGGCAAAGATATCTTAGCTAGGTAAAGAGACGTCTAGTGAAATGCAAGAACCCTAACGTCTACAATTACACTAATAAATAAGGACTACACTTACTGTAACATAAAGGCTCTGACCCTCCATCACGAATGTCAACTGAAGTTTTGCTTTAGACTTCAGCGAGTAAGCACAACCCAAGCCCATGATGCTGTGCTACAGCAAACCCCCCACTGGACCATTACTCTTGATGCTGGGGGGCAGCACTGCATTTGAGAGACGCTCAGGAGACTCGAATGCTGCTTCTTCCTCCATCCCCAATCTAATGAGTGATTTAAGGCAAGTCATGTTGTACCTCTGTGCCCCTGTTTGTCTTCCCTATCCTTTGTGTTCCATGGAGAAACTGATCTTCTTTGTAAATTAATACGAAAGGCAGGACTGAAAAGAGCTTGTGTCAGAGCCAGGCAGAAGAAAGTAAGGTAATGTGATTATAAAAGCAAGTATTTAAAAAGGGAAAAACATGCATTTGAAAGGTTTATACACAAGAGACATCCTCCATCTGGGCTGGAGTATCGGCCAGAGAGAGTACTACGTTAACCACAGTTGCTTGGCACATCACCTTTCAGCCTCAGAGCCGAACCCATTACACGGCCCCTGGGAAGACACATTCCCTGAGACCCGGGGTTGGGTTACTGCTATGTACTGTGCTCCAGCTGACTGTGGAATGAACGGTCATGCTGAGGAAAGCAAACAAGACAGCCTGCAAGGTCCTGGAGATCACTTTCAGCTATGAGAAAGCTTCTTTATTCTTATACTTTCTATTTAACTGCTAACCCTTTTGTTCGAAAGCCACAACAGCAGAGAGCATACTGCAGGCACAGCACAGAGACATCAAAGCAGAGAGAACAGGTAGCAGCAGGACATGTCTTCCAGATTATCATAAAAAGGAGCCCAGATGAGCTTCTGCATTTCCTCCAGGAATAGCTTCCAAAGGCCATTTTGGCACAGAGTGTAAAGTAAATTCATTTGGAAGTGGGGTAGAGGTTTGTGTCCCTAGTTGAATCAGGGACGGCGCAGACTCTGGAGACTTTGGAAAACAGAAGGTTTTTGAACACCCCAAGTTTGTTAGCATGCTTTTAAGGAATGGGAATTATCCCTGTGCAGGAGATGAAAAACACGAGCTGTACTAAACCATGTTCAGAGAAAGGAGCTACAGTCAGAGACGGCAACGGAACAGGCCAGGGCTCTGTACGTGCTCAAGCAGGTGGTGGTGCTGTCAGGACAACGAGACTTGAAGTAACAATAACCTTAGTCACAGCAGCAGAGAAACTAAGCTGGTAGCTTAACAGATGCAGGAGGTGGATGATACTGGCTTAAGGACCTTGGACTAAAATCTGGGCTTGATACCTGACTTTGACATTGATCTTCTGTGCCTTCTGGGCAATTCATCTTGGTTGAGTTCCCTCCTCAGTCAGCAAAGTCAGCAGTCTGTGGGGAGGTGGAGGAGGGGATCACACAGAGTTTTCTTTCCATTCCTCATAGGGAAGACTTTTTTTTTTTTTAAACTATGTGGTTTAAGCTCCCTCCCACAACTCTTCAAGCAAAAGACACTGGAGTAATCATGTCACTAAGGACAATACTTCAGATCCAATGCAAGTAAACAGCTCCTTCCCTCACTGCAGTGAACATGGAGCAGGAAGCTCAAAAAGCCCACATTTATCATTTCATACTTCTAAAAGCTCCTCCCAAAGCCATGGGAAATATGGCCATACCAAAAGGGCTCCCACGTCTCCTGGTAGCTGTTGAAGGATGCCTATTCATCAGCCTATGGTAACCCAAAGCCCCACAGGCATTCCAGCCCACTGCCATTTTCCAATGCCACTATTATTCAAAGGCAAGAACACTGCCTTCCTCTGACAGGGGAGGAAGGACCATAGTCTCTCCTGAGCTGCTTCAACGTGCCATTCCCTATTGAATCAAGTCAGAGTGTGCATTCATGATCACTTTTTCTTCACATTCACTTTACATGTATGCGGTTTGTGTCTGGTATGAAAAGTGAGAAATTGTTGCCTAAACACACGATTTTTTGCTGTACTGGCTTGAAGACAGGCTGGTAGCCTCATTGAGAATCTGCTGCTTGTTTGAGAATTTCTGCTGTTCTCATGGAAACAAATTCAGACCCATCTCTTCAAGGGCCCTGGGAAACAAACAGGAGCAGTAGGGCTCTGCTGCAAGGAGTCCCGTGTCAACTCAAACACCCCACTCTTAGTGCAAAAGGGCTGGAGGAAGCATGGCATTAGCACTCTGAAAAGGGATAGTAACATCACAGAAGGCGCATGAAAAGCCCCAGCATTGACTATTTTGCTCCCCGATGACCCCGTTCACAATTGCACAACACCCCAATGATTCTTATCGTAGGCGAGGATCAGTCTACATTCAGCTGTCTTCATAGTGACCCAATAGTCTAAAACAGCCATTGGCCCCAGTTGGCCAGAAACAACGGTGCATTCCCACAGCAAACCTCTGCTTGGAATCACCAAAATAAACCTACACACTTTATGATTAGAGGTCACATCTGGTGTGGGAAGGAGGATGCGAGTAGGAAAAAAAATTGGATCCACGCAGCCTGCCAGACCAACAAACTGCTGTATCAGAGCACACATTGAACAGTCCCACAGAAATTATCAGCAATGGAAGACTGACAATGCCAACATGTAATTAAACAGCCGGCATTTGGCTCAGAGTCAACATCTCGTTGAACTGGAAAGGGCAGACGAATAGAGCTGCCCTCTATATTCTCATAAGGGTATCTGTCCACACATACTTGTCTGGAAGACAAGATGTTTGAGTCAGACCTTTTTTTCTTTCTTTCTTTCTTTCCTTTCTTTAAATGAAGACTCAGAAATTGATGGAGCTACCAACCAAACTCTGGGTCCTGTCCCTGGACAGAATTCCCACATACCCTCTCCACCCTTTCTACACACTTACTTACCATAATGGTGTGATGTGGGAACAGGGCACGGACAGACTTCACAAACTCCACAAAGTGCTCTGAATAGCCGTTTGCCACATCCAGGCAGATGTATCTGATAGGTGGAATGGCCTCTAGAATACTTCTTAACTTGTCCAAATCAGCTTTTCCACTACCTGAGCTTGCTGCTACATGCTAGAAAGACAGGGAGAACAAAAGGGAGCAGTAGTTTGTAAAAACTGGGGTAAACACACACTTCATATGTCTTTTTCTGCAGTCTTGGGAGGACTTGTGCTGGAAACTAGTGAAGATCATACTATATAATATGAAATAAATACCTTCCTGGGAATATCAATGTGTTACTTCTGTTTCGTTTAAAGGCCCTAAAATAAAGCAAAGTTAGCATTTTATCAGCTCTTCATTCTCAAGCAGAGTCTCATAGGCAAATACAATCACCTGAGATGGATGAAGGCTCAGCCGTACTCACATTAACAACACAGAAGCGGCCCTAACTTGGTATATTTCCAGGAAGACCGAGTGGCAAAATCTGGGGCACGGTCAGAGAGTGGAATCTGGGTCTTTCAGTTCACCAAGCACTCCCTTGATCTACAGAATCACACAATAGCTGAATTTGGAAGGGACCTCTGGAGATTGTGTAGTCCAACCCCCTTGCTCAAGCAAGGTCAGCTACCATTAAAAACAAGGAGAACGCTTTCTCCTTTGTCCTTCTATGAGTTCATTCCAAAAGAAAAATAGTTTCCACAGCTGTTGGCCCACAAAACCTCTGCAGAGATCCAAGGTCACAGAGCAAGTCAGTATTTAATCACGTCCTACTCCAGTGATTATGAACCACAAATGAGCTAAGTGCGAAAGTGTTCAGGCACAGGATATTCCTGGGACCACTTTCTACCCTGCAGTGGCATATAAGCAACCCTGATGAACCTAAGTGATAGGCTGACTTTCAGACAATCCTGTAACCAATAGTCTTTATAATATAATTCTAAGATGTGCCACACGTAAAGATACAATACAGCTGTGTGATATTCTTTTCTATACAGAAAAGTTTCAAAACTGCACTAAACTCCGAGGAGGAGGGGAGACAGCCAGGCACGCTCTTACACTGCCTCTCCTGGTGTAGCGGTCTACCAGAAGAACACAGAAGTAATGTGGATATGAAAAAGTCAGAACTTAAGTCAATGTTTAGATTTACTAAATGGCACCTCTCTGTAATGGCGCAGGCTAGGACCTGTGAACAACTGGGGCAGCACAACTAGCAGTAGTGCAGTGTGAGCCCTAGTGCAAGGAGATAAACGGACAACACGTATGCTCTGACAACTTTCAATCCTCATCCCTGCCTGGACCCAGCACCTGGGTTCCTCCAGCCCGCAGGCTCCAGGTCCGCTCGCACACCTGCTGGCAAAGACTCTGCTAGCACAAGGGCACGCAGGGCCAGCTTGCAGTTGGGTTACTCAAGGCTATTAACATTTGAGGTCTTGGGCTTCTCTCTCACCAGCACTACGACAGCTCCCAACAGCAATGGAAACGTTGCAGTTAGACCTATTCCTGAGTATTTCCTCCTCCTTTGTTCAGGATACGTCTCTGTTTCCATTCCAGGCACATATAAACTTTGCTTTTTTTGCATCTTAATATAAGCACTTTCATAATGGACTCACATAGCTATTCTTTTTAAACCAGGAGAAGCTACTTCCCTTGATGCATTTAAGAACAGCAAATATCTTCATTCCCCAAAACCTCACTTGACAACAGTATTCCCAAGAGAATCCAGTGTATGTGAGTTCAGAACAAAGCAATAAACCATAATAATTTACAGTACGAAAATGTACCTCAAGGCATTCTGGGTGATTGGCAGCAAACAGTTTCCATTCTTCCAGAGAATAATGCTTGTGAATTGCAGTGAACATTGCATGCTAGTAAAAATAAGAAAACTGATATTAACATCCAAGTTAGTCATCTTCCTCTCAACTGTGGAATAACAAGATATCAGAAATTCCCATTTTAAGTATAGGCTCGTCCTGCTTGAAAAAAAACAGTAACAGGGAATAACAGACCAGGCAACTTCTAACGGCTTTTCAGAGGTAACTGAGCACACTTAGCCAACCTTTCAGGATCAGGTTTCCGACGTGTTTGATGAAGTTATGCTCAGTATTTCGGATGTGCCTAAGCACTGCAAGAAATTAAGGTTAGCCTTGAGGCCAGAGGCTAATTAGTGACTCCTGACTGCTGCAGCTTGATCCAGTAAGCCACACTTTCAAAACCATTGTCAGCTACTTTCTGGAAGGGAGCACAGTATAGACCTCAAAAACCAGGCTCTAGAAGCTCCACCTGAAGCTGAGCTACATCCAAGATGGAAGCTTCCCAGTAAGCATCTCCACTGAAACTATCTTACATCTGGAGCCCTGTCTCTGGTTTTGTTACTGTATTGCTCTAAAAGCACAGCTGCTTTGCAGTGAAACCACACCTTCTTGTTTGGGATTTTTTAACTCATGCCCCCCATGTTCTCCAACAAACAGAGCTAAAAATTAATAAAGGCTGCTCACTGTCACACAGCGGCTTCCCAATTGTTGCACAAATGAGAATTAAGACTTACTTTTGCCATAACCACGGCCATTTCAAATGTCCCCACAGTGTCCATGTTTGCCACTATAATGGGAATTCCTGTGTATGTCTGCTTGGAGTTGCGGAAGGTGAAGCTGCGCGTGAGGTCGACCTGCAATGAATAGGCACACATTCTTGTAAGTAATTGATTGCAATCTAACAACAGCTTTGCTGCTGACTCCATATACAGCAGGTTTGCACACTGCCTCTTAATTTTCCTCCTTTCATTCCACTACTACCTCACTTTATTTATTTTCTTTATTTTATTTGCCTTCCAAACAAGAAAGAAAACATAAAATAACGTTTTCTGTGTTGAAGAGCGTTCTTGCTGAAGAAAAAGAGAATCAAAATTTTAAAAAAAAAAGAAACAAGCCAGAAGAGGTTGGAAAGGAAAGAAAGGACAATGAGGACTGTGGGTTATTTTATACAGAAGTAACCTCAGCTGTTTGGCTGCCTCAGAAACCCAAGTTGAAGTCCTAACTCCACAGAAGTCAGAACTGGAACTCCCTCCAGGGCATAGAAGGCTTTGTCCCAGTCTCTAATGTAAATGACAATATAATAAAGCAAGCTCTTACTTTTGGCGATGGTTACAAGCACTCTTGCCACTCAATATCAACAATCATACCCTGGCCTGGCTTATTAAACCACAAGGCTGCTAGTTTCTAAGAGAATTTCTTACAATTGCGTCAGCCTTCACTTCAGCATGCTGAAATGATCATGGTAACATCAGGCATTTTGTACCTTACGTTTGCAAGACATAGTATCGTATTTAGATCATTTCCCACTGGTCTACTTAGCATCCTGCAAAAGGGGAAAAAAAACTCCAAGAAACGCACAACTGTACGATATTAGGTTAGTCTCTTTGGCAACAGTGAAAATGAAGGCTCCTTCATAGTTTTCATTACTCCTTACTTCAGCTTTAATCCAGGAACATTCAGAGACCTGAACTGAACTGAAATCCATCACCAGAAAGGAAGCAATATAAAAAATACAGGACTTTGATTATTTATTTACAACATACTTTGAGGAGTGTCATATTGCAGGCTACGTTCCGATTGATTAATATGGGGGAGGGATTGTTTATTACTGATTTGTATAAGAGAAAGAACTTGGTGCCTCAGTGACATTGCGAAAGAGGTTCTCATTTTGTATAAGCTCGTAAGGGAAGGGTCACTGGTGAACAAGCTAAGATACATCTTAATGGAGACTCACTCTTCCTCCCATTCACTATCAGAGAGGCCCAACTCTCCATTCATCACTGATGATGTAACATTCTTACGGGAATTTCAGCTGCAACTAACGTGAGAAAAGAGTATGAAGAAGATAGGTATGAAACACCTATGAAAATTTAATGTATTTTAGTCCCTTTTAATGCAATTTAACTAGAACCAAGGAAAATAAGAGCATCACACAACCAGCTCCATACGGACAATAGCACCAGAACTACTGCCTTGCAGTTTTACAGAGGAAAAACATCTCTTTCAAATGAACTTAAGAAAGAAGTAGAGAAGTAGAGTATGTTTAAGAAAAGACTGAGGCAAGATGCAAAGCTATGCAGGGAACACAAGGCCATTACTCTTTCAGTGATTCTCCCCTCCCCTTACTGTAACTTCTCATGTGTGACTCCCTTTAGCCAGCCAGCCAGCTGGATCTCTTGCAATTATCCACACAACTGACAATAACGTAACAACAGGCACTTATGAGGGATAATTGCGGGGCTTCCCCTAACAAGACTTTTGTTCTACAAGAACAGGAGAAATGGCACACCGGGTTGGAGACGTTTATGTGGTGCCCTAGTTCTCCAAACAGCCCGTACCAGATGTCTGGGAAGGGAACATAAGAACGAGGCAAGTTTTGAAAGACTGCCTTCCCAGGTCTCAAGAAGCTGATGTTTAGAGGCCTTCAAAGACAAAGGTCTCCTCCAATCCATTGTGCTAAACAGCAACGCACGGCCAAAGAACTTGCCTTGTAATTTTTTTAATCCTTCACACCTTTAGCCTCTCCAATATCCAATAGCAATAAATTCCAAAGATGAATTATACATTGCATAAAAACGACAACCTTTGCCTGATAATCACATTCAGCGCTTCCTACCTCTTGTTTTGTGAAAGACAATCAACAGCCACTTCTTCGTTTCACCTTTTCCATTCCACTCCTCACTTCCTTGACTCCTAGCATGTCCTCCACAGCTGCTGCTTCTCCATACTGAATAGTTCTAGTATGTTTAGGTTTTTCCTCAGGTGGAAACCAGTCAATACTGCTGATCATCCTGGCTGCCATTCCCTGTACCTATTTTAGCATATTATGCTGCTCTTGTGAAGGGATCACCAGAACAGTGCACTGAAGATGAACGCACCAAGGAGCATCACAAAGCTAACTGGTTTTCCTTAGTTCCTCCAGTAGCACTTCTGACCACCTCTTTGTCTCTTTCCTGAGTGGTAACAGCAAATGTATAGCTTATTGTTCTATGCATTATGAGAAAATAACTTCTGACTCTAGGATTGCTCACCATCACTCAACAACAGTAAAAGTTTTTTCAGAAAGAAAATTATTAAATGTATTTTATAACTCCTCCCTAGAACTTCCACATAGGAAAGTACCAGGACATTGGCTGTTCTGTTAAAGCTCCCTGGACCTGTTCGAATTTAAAAATTTAAATTAACGACTAGACTTCCTCCGGGACAATTGTCTGGTCAACTTAAAATGGACAGCCTGCAGGGACAAGACCAGCGAAGGTGAGAATAGCAGACTATGTGAATACCAACACCCCACAGACAGATAATGCTGCTCCCACTCCAATCATCGCTTTAACCAATTTTGACACTTGAATTCAATCTTTGAATTTTCTGGGCTCTTTTCAAAAAGAGAAAGCAATCGTGGAAAATGAAGACAGTGCAAGGAATCAAACACAAGTACCAACATAGCAGACCTATAAGAAGAGCTGCAAACACCCCAAACTGCCTCTCTAAGAAGCTGACTTAATCCTAATTACTGCATAAAGAGCTATCCTGTGCAAAATGAGGCATTCACACCAGAGAAGCAGAAGCTTGCTGATATAAGCTTCAAAGCAGCAGCTTGCTGGGTAACAGGCACTGTAGCATGCTGCCTCTGTTCCTCTGCCAGAACTATTTATTTATATTCTTGTTTTGAAGCAGACTGGGGCTGTCCATTTCAGATCTGGCTCTCACAGACACTGTTTATTCCTGTTGCTACAGCCTCAGTGATGGTGTCCAATTTCTTAACCTTCATCACTTCTCACTGACCCTCCTCATGACATGCACTTTTTCCCACGTGAAATGTTTTTAACAGTTCATCATAGCCACCCGTTACAACCCTGCCATATCAGCTCGTGTTCCTCCTATCGTTTTCCCTTCCCGACAGCCCTTCTTTCCACAGCCTGCACGCAGCTAAATATACCAAACGCTGCACTTCACGGAGCCCTGTGTCAGTCAGCGGAGCACAGCTCCACCTGTTTGCAAGGCCAGCACACTGAATTTTAAAGAGGGACCAGAGGTCCCCAAGCAAATGGCTGGAAAGGGCCTACAGGCCTTACGGGTAGTAACTGCACACAATGAGGAGTTACTCAGCTGGGACACTGTCCTTTGTAAATTAAAACAGACTAGCCTGAGATACCTTTCTAGTGAGAGGGCCTCCCCAGTCTTACACATTCATAACGGCAAAAAAGTTTTGCTTCGTTGTTGCCCTCAAAAGCCCTGGCCATAGGCCTGTAACCAACATGGCCACCCCGCTTGCTCCCCTTTCCAGTCTTGTCTACCTCACTGGATTTGTCTCCCTCTCTCTCTCTTATACCTCTGCTTCCCTTGGAGAAAAGCTTAATCCTCTTTCCAAACCCCCTCCCAACACAACGTAATTCCTTCATTAGTCAAACTAAATCCTTTGTTAGCCTTGGGGTTACGTGAGGTAAACAAGAAGGCACCTTCAACCCCGAGGCAGCCATCTTTTATGTAGAGGCAATCCTCACGGGATTTCCTGGGGTCTTTCCTGATCCCTGCTGAGAAGGAACTACAGCGGTATCCTGGCTAACAGTGGCCCTGGGCCAGCAGGGACGCAGGTCGCGGGAGTTAACACGAGTGAGGCTGAAACGCACCCCACCACCCCAGGTTTCCACCTGACGGGATCCCAGCCTGGGGCACCCTGTGCCGTGGGAAGCCCTCCCCAGCATCTTCGCCGGCTGGTTTTTATTACTATTGTATTTTAAAAAGAGCAGGTTACTCACTCGCTAACAGCGCTGCCCACAACCCCCGAGGCTGTGGGTGAAGACACCTGCCCGCCCGCACCCCCGGCTTTTGCCGGCCCGAGCTGCGCGGCAACGTAACGGGGCACCCCCCTGCCCCGGAGAGGGGCTGGCACGGCTCTCGGTTCACCGCCGCCCCTACGGCCG